TGCGGTATGGTTTGATTTTAATCCGCGATTTATCCATGGACATTAGAATAATATAAAACAAGTTAACATATAAGTTTAAACGAGAACTAATATTGTTAAATATTAAATTACATTCATATTTGTCTGAAATTCGAAATACAAACAAAAAGACAAAAAAGTATTAACAACATAGCATCTAGTAACATGTCAATGAATTATGCTATTTGTATATTGGGGATTGACACTTCGGACCTTCAGTGTAAGCTCCCTTCACGAGGGGGGCACGCCCAATTAAAAAAAAGTGTAGGCCACATGAGGTGTACACCGGTGTGTCACATATAGCATAACCCACGTGATAATAGGTTTCTTCCCTCAAATTTTTACAAGTAATAATATACATGCAGCAACGCAATAAGTCAAGCCCTCTTTTTTTGCATGAGTGATAATGTGCCTCGAACTATATTTTTCTTTAATTCTTGTTCTCCATTTGCTACTTATGTAAAACATTGAACACATTTTCTTGTTCGTTTTGATGCCTACACCATATTTAGAGCTAACTTAGATAAAATGTCCGAAATAGATTGTAACAATCCGTGAGATGAAGAGGTAGTAAAGAAAAGAAATAAAACTCTACTTTGCTCTGAACGCATAATTCTTCAATAGGTTATATAACCACTACAAGTTGACCTGCAACATATAATCTTTCTTCTTCAACTTTCTCATATTCATCACCAAATGCATAAAGAAACAGTGTATGCAAATAAAGGAACCCCATCTTAACCAATAATGATTGATCGTCATAGCTAGGGATGTCAAACGAGCCGAGATCTCGATGGCTCGTGGGCGGCTCGGGCTCATCATTTCGAGCCTCATCGAGCCCACGAGCGACTTGTGGGCACACGGCCCACAAGCCATTTTGATGAGCCCACGAGCTCGTGGGCTCGTCAAAAAAATATGAAATTTTTTTTAATAAAAAGGTTCAAAATGTGCAAATTTACAAAAAAACAAAAAATTAAAAAAATCACGAGCTCGCGAGCGGCAGAGCTCGAGCTCGGCTCGTCTTTCACGAGCCACGAGTCCGAGCCATGCTCGTGGGTTAAAGGGCCGAGCCGACTCGACTCGAGCCATTGCCATCACTAATTCATAGCCTTCCTCTCTTATTTTTCTAAATACAGAACGTGTGAAAATAAAATAAAGAAATTCAAATATAGTAAAGTGATGCTTCAAATAAAAGAAAATTCACCACTGCTTCTTCGATTAAGAAAATTATAAACCAATCAATGGATTCACTAATCAAAAGCCGCTGCTCTATGACGAGGATGTGACGGTTCCTCTCGTGGAGTAGGTGTAGAAAAAGCAAAATGTCTCCATGAGTAATCCATTGCCATCCTCTTATTAATCTGTTGATTTTGATTATGCCTCGAGTCCCATCCAAAATCTGAGAAAATTATAAATTACTAAATTGGTTTTTTTACTTGAAAAGTGTAAAATTTATGATTTAATGAAATTAGCTTTTCAATTAAAAATAAAAAAGTTTCGGTTCAATTTTGTGTGATTTTTGAATATCGAAATTTAAACCCAATCATTTTAAAACGGTTTTGTTTGGTTTGAGGGGGAAAAATCGCGAGGTCCACGTGGACTCAAACCAACGGTTTTCAGACCAATGTATTCAGGTCGATTTACGGTTTCACAATTTATTGTGCAGTCCTACTTAAATGCATTTAAAGTATTTCAATATCGAATGTAAAAAAATAATAAAATAATTTAGAGAAAGCTAGTTAAAACAACAACAAAAAACGAAGGGAGAAATAATAATTATTTTTTGAGAGTAATAAAATTAAGTGTTAAATATAAAGAATTTATTGGAATACTTCAAAATTTTAACCCTATAGATTTATAGACATTTTTCAAATGATAAAATATTCTTTTAAAAAATAGAGTGTATCTTAGATACTCTTAAAAAGTGTAATTGGATATAGCTATCCTTTAAATTCACCTATTTTATAAGGCAACTAGACAAAATTATAGACATTTAAAAGTTAAGAATGAAAATTGATCGAGTAGAGTTTGAGGTTCGAACCTTCTCGAACTAGGTTGGACCACTTAAGTTTCAAGAAAGAGATTTACACAAACTATATAAAGAATGATGATATTTAACACTAGTTAAAAAGACAGTAGATCCACTTCTAATCAATCAATTAATCGAAATGCATTCCATAACTAAAGGTCAACAATGATATGTCATCATTACCAACAGTGATATATCATCGGTGATGATCGTCATTGGTCTAAGCGACTATGAGTCAATTGCTACCTTGATTGATAACAAATAGAAAGCATTACTCAATAAAGGTTTTGTTGGATTTCCAATTTTTTTCAAAATACTTTTTTATCTATTTTTTTCAACTACACATTTTTCAATAAAATAATATTATACGTAAACCCAAAATTTTTTCTTATTCCTTAACTAGACATTCTTCATCAAATCGCTATTTCAAAATTTATTTTTTGCAAAAAATGGACATCGAACATGCTCTAAAAATAGATCCTCGACTCACGTGAATTAAGTGTTAAGCACCATTAATTTTAGATAACATTAACCCTTTTTGAAAATGTGACTAGTACATATCTAGATTAACCATATGAATTATCCGTTGTTGTTTGCTTTCTCTCTCCGAGGTGGTGTCCGGGCTAGGGTAGTTGGGATTCGTCTATCAAGGTTAATTCCACCCCCATATTTTAAAATTATTTCATTGTAACCCCTAAATGTTTCAACTGGTTTCTTCTGGAAGATCATGCTGGATCTTATCGGAATGATTTTAAAATAATAAATTTCCTAGTTGCCAGGAAAAAATGTTCCAACTGGCTTAAAGTTGTAGGGTGAAGCAGATAATCAGAGGTTGTTTGGAGGCGATTCTCAATAAAATTTTAATTAAAATTTTGACCGTTACATCAAAATTTGGGCCGCAATTATTGACCATTTTTTACAAAATGACCCAGGTACCCGTGCATATTTAATCCATTTCATTTGAATGATGGGCATTTATGGTAATTTGGCAAATATGCAGTAAAAAATTGCGGCCTGCAGAGGGGACCAGATTTCCAGAACGGTTGAAATTCTCATTACCATTTTGTGAAAATCTCCTCCAAACAAGCGCTCAATTCCAATTTTATAGTGTTGCGGCAGTTGAGGTGATCCTGACAATTGGCCCGCGTGACTTGGATCGACGTTGGTCCAACTGGAAATGAAATATTATATATATTTTTCCTACCAACAATGGACTACAACAATTTGTTAATATATAAAAGTGCGACAATTCCAAATATTAAAATAATGAATATCGTGAAAAAAAATTAGGGATTTAAATATTGCATTACTTATAAATGTCGAGACTTTCTCTACATATTTTTTGATATATCAATTGAGACTTGAAAGAGAAAGTCAATATGAGAGATACACATGGTCGGTAGGAAAGTAAGCTTTGTTTGTTTATAATTTTATCACATTATTTTTTCCACAACACTCATTTTTAACCACACATACTTCATTAAAATAATATTATATGTAAATAAAAAAATTTTCTTTATTTTTTAACCACACATTTCAATATCAATCACTATTTCATAATACATTATTCACAAATAATGGGGCACAAACACCACTAAGATATTTTTACGTCCGACTCTGACTTTTCGTTAACGAAAAATAGAAAAGAACAATAAGAACGAAAAATATAGGATGAAATCAAATATTTTATTTCCGCTTTTAGAAAGCTATAAATGGAGGAAGTTTTATTAGGGCCCCGTTTGTTTCTCATTAATATAAGAATGAGAATGAAAAATATGGTCGTTATGGACTCCACACAAGAGATATAAATTAAAATATGATGACTTGATGTGATGGATAACGGTCATATTTTTCATTTTAATAGCTAAATAATGAGAAACAAACAGGGGCTAAGTTCAACAAAAAAGACTAGTTACCTAGTTTTCGTTTTTTTTTTTTAATGTTTGAATATTTATAATTTGTAACATTATATAACATGCTATTGTACGAGAAGTTAAAATCTCGACCAGACTTATCTCAAGGTTCCGAGAATTTTCAAGGCATCCCTCGTAGATTGATAACACTTTGGCCTCGACATGTACAAGAGGCTCAACTTTCCTCACTTGTATGTTAAAAGTAGGTTTAGTCGATCCCTATACGAGGCCATCACATATTGACACGAAAAATAAGTTATGCCTACCACCCAAGTAATAACTTGATCATGGGAATGAACGGAGGACTAATCAGTCATGAATAACGATGTGTTGCTTGTCAACCTTTATTTCTAATACTTATCCACTAAGAGGCCCACTCCTTTAGTTTGAAAATGGATTCTTATTTAGACACGGCATTTGAGATCTATGGATTCTTAATCGCTAGTACAGCATTATGCCCCCATTTGGCCTCCATTAAATCTTATCAAATTAAATTAAATTCTTCTTTCTCATATTTTTTACCATACAATTTTCAATAAAATAATATTACACATAAATCAAAATCTTTTCATTTTTTTACAACTATCCATTTAAAAGAAATATATCTATATATTATTCTCTCCATTATAATCAAAATTATTGGGGGCCAAACAAGGGCTATATTATCAAAGGTTTTTATAATTAAGCCCTCATTTGGCCCCCATTTTGTGGTAATGAAAATTGATGGAATAGTGTTTTTTTGAAAAATAAATGGTTGAAAAATAAGTAAAAGTTTTCGTTTAATAGGAGAGAAAAACGAAATATAATGAAATGAAAATTAATAGGGGCTAAACGAGAGCTAAATACACGAGAGAGATTGAGTACACTTAAAATTCAATCCGCATAAAACTTTCATTCTAACGGGAATGGGGGGGGGGGAAAGAATAATTGGAATTAGATGATATGCGAAAAAGTTAAATAGGTCTTTTCGACGGTTCAGATTTAATCGTAAGGCAGAGAGTGGGTTAAGGTCCATCAATAAATAGGCCGCCTTTAAAAGCTCAAAACCTCACGAATCAGTCTAAAGTCCACTAGGGTTTAAGAGTTCCGTTTCTCTCAAAAGCCCATCTTCTTCTCTTCCCTTCTCTCCCTCCATTCAGTTTTCTTCAAAAATAACTGTAAATTGATTACCGTTAAACCCTAAACCCTGGTTTTGCGTCGTAAAGATTTTCATTTCGCCATTGAAGTAAGTTTCAATTCATCTATGTAACGTTTTTTTTTTTTTTTTTTTTTTACGTTATTATTATTATTTATATTCATATGTTTTAGCCGCAAGTTATGTTTGTTCTTATGCTTGAAACTTGTTTTGAAGTCGTAGTTTTTATCGATTAATATGTTGTCCTTGGACCATAAGGTTTCAGTGTGAAGGCAAATTTAGGGGTTTCTTGTTTATTTAAGACACTGTGTTTTGTTGTTTTGATGATATAGTTGGGTGGTTTTCCTTGGAAGAAATTTGTAAATTTTTGTCAGAGTCCACATTAGGTCTATAGGGTTGGGTTTATAAGCACATTGGACTGCTTCCAATTGGAGATGTCACTTTATCAACGACTCGGAGAGGATCTCATGCGATTGAATGATATGTCCGTAAAATCTTGTAATTGAGTAATTGAGAAATAAACACCACTTCTAAAAAGAGGAGTGCTTGTGACTATCCTCACGTGCTTTTTGGCAAGACAAGACTTTTAGCACATTGATGACCTTCAATTTGGTTTCAAGGGTGAGATACAGTTGTATCAAAGAGACCCTCTTTTAGATATTGCCCTCGTTGTGGACATGACAAACCGAGAGGGGTTCCTTTCGGGTGAATGTTGAGTCTGTGAGGGTACACAATTGAGAATATGGGTCTCATTAGATGTCGATTTTGACAAAAGGGGTGGTAACGATGTCCTAACTTATCGTAACACTTAAGTTATGTATTTGCTTGGGAGTTTATAAGCTCATTGAGTATCCTCCCTTAATAGAGCGGTTTAAAATTTTAAAGGTGAGCTCTATCATGTGTTTGTGTCAAAATTTTCTTCATGTTTACCTTCTTGTGCTTGTGAATGATGACGTTATACTGTGTTTATTAGCATAATTCAATTAGCCTTTGTTGTTAGGTTTACCATTACTTGGAAGATACATGATTGCTCAAACCTTGAAAATGTCTAGGCTACTCTCGCAATGCGGAAACTATCATCTTGGAATCAAAATTTTTGAAAAAGCAATTCAAAATTGATCAATAATTTTATTAGTTTTTGGGTTCAATTCTATGTAATTAAATATACAGTGAATATTTTTGTTTATATATTTGGACTACGGGTAGTAGTTTAAGCTTTTAGCATGAAAAATTTTTGGCAAGTCAATGCGAAAGTAGCAATCCAATGAATATTCGTAGTGAAATTCATGTCAGTTCCTCTATTTTTCTTGTATTGTAAATCGATATATTTACGTGTGATAGTGATGTCTATTGTTATCGGTGAACTTCATGTCACTGATGGAGAGAAATTTTAGCCTGCTGTTTTATTTCGGTCGTGTACTTAAGCTTTATGGCAACGATGAAATTTACACTTTCAGTGTTACTTTATATAGTGAATCATACTATTATGTGATGATATAAACTCTAAGGAGTAATTTAGTGGTCAGGCATTGAGTTTGCTCCTCAGTGGTTACCGGTTCGAGTTCCCTTAGACCACTAAGGTGAGTATCCGATTGTAAACTTTCGGGCCTATGGAATTAATCAAGATGCGCGTAAGCTGAGTCGGACACGCACGGTCATTTAAAAGAAAAAAAAACTATTATGTGATGCCTTTTTTGAATTCAGGCATGCTGTTGGCACTTTAGCATGTGACTACATTGTACAGACGTAAACATATTCATGACATCTTGCACCTTTCTGGCTTTGTTATCCTGTATATTTATAATTGATTTTTTCTTTTTTGTGTCTGTTTGTATTTTGTGGATGGAGATTAACTTTAGCTTTATACACAAGTGCTCAAAGGAGGAAGAATGTGCAATTTTATATTTCATCCCTCACCTTCCTTTACCCGCATACATAATAAGGGTGTTAGTACTAAGCTACTTTTGATATATTGCAGAGTTGAAGGTTATTTGACAATCTAAAATGTGCATGTCTGATCATGGCCGTTCTATCCTTTTTGTTTGCAGAATTCATCTATGGATGTCCCTACTAATCAGGTTGAGAACTCCAATTCAGGTGTGCAGCCTAATAAACGCAGGAGAAAGAAGTCCATAGTCTGGGACCACTTCACAATTGTAACTGTTAATGCTGACTGTATCAGGGCCTGCTGTAACCAATGCAAGAAATCATTTGCTTATATATCAGGTTCAAAATTAGCAGGCACCAGTCACCTTAAACGCCATATTTCATTGGGGATCTGCCCTGTCAGCCGGTGTAATCAAGGGAAATTTCAACTCGGTATTTACAACCATGATACAAAATCTGATGTTTCTGGAAATGGTACGATACAACCAAGAAAGCGCCTCCGGGCTACCCCTAGACCAGCTAGTTTCTCTTTTGATCAGGACCTATGCAGCCGTGAAATTGCAAAAATGATCATTCAGCATGAATATCCTCTTCACATGGTTGAACATTCTGGCTTCATTGATTTTGCAAGGTGTCTTCATCCCCATTTTATTACAATGAGCACCAATACTGTCCAAGAACACATACTGGGCATTTATTTCAGAGAGAAGCAAAACCTTCTGAACCTTGTTGCTGGAATCCCAGGACGAGTTAGCCTTACTCTGGATTTGTGGACTTCAGACCTAAGGGTGTCCTACGGACTCCTGACAGGACACTTCATTGGCTGCGACTGGAAACTGTATAGGCGGATCTTCAATGTTGTAACGTTACCATCTCCTGACTCAGAAACTGCCTTTGATCAAGCTGTTGCTGCTTCTCTAAATGCTTGGAGCTCTGAGAGCAAGCTATTTACCCTCACTCTCGACCAATCCCATGCAAATGAAAATGCAAAGAGAAATCTTAGGGGCCTCCTATCAATCAAAAACTCCCGTATTCTCAATGGACAGCTATTAATTAACAGTTGTTATGCTTGTACTTTGACGAGGCTTGCACAAGATGCATTAGGGTTTGTTCGGGAAACTGTTGAGAAGGTCCGCGACAGTGTTAAGTACGTGAAGACTTCAGAAGCTCGTGAAGAAAGATTCATCAAACTGAAACAACAGCTTCAAGTGCCCAGCACAAAGAACTTAATTGTCGATGACCTTACCAAATGGAATACTACATATCACATGTTGATGGCTGCTTCTGAACTAAAGGAGGTATTTTCATGCCTGGATACTTCAGATCCAGATTATGAGAGACCTCCATCAATGGATGAGTGGAGACAAGTGGAAACTCTTTGCGTATATTTGAAGCTTTTCTACGAGGCTGCCAACATTCTAACAGGCCCTTTATATCCGACTACGAATACATTCTTCCACGAAGTGTGGAAAATTCAGCTAGAACTGATGCATGATGCTTCGAGCCCAGATCTCTTTGTCAGCAGCCTTACCAAACCGTTGCATGAGAAATTCACTAGATATTGGGAGGACTGTAAACTAGTCTTGGCAGTTGCTGTAGTTATGGACCCGAGGTTGAAAATGAAGCTCGTGGAATTCAGCTTCCCCAGAATCTACGGCGAGGATGCAGACAATTGGATCAAGATCATTGATGAAGATGTGCACGAACTTTATCTCGAGTACGTAGTGCAATGCCTTCCTCCACCAACTTTTATAGAAGAAGGAAACGAGGCTGTTGTAAAAACAGATATACCTCAAGACGACGGTCTTCTGCCTAATGGTGATATTGGGTTTTCGGATTTTGACATCTATATTTCGGATATAATGAATGGCCAACAGATGAAATCCGAACTAGATCAGTATCTAGAAGAATCTCTCCTACCTCGTGTACAAGATTTCGATGTTCTAGGTTGGTGGAGAGTAAATAGATCAAAATACCCAACTTTGTCGAAAATGGCATCTGATGTTTTATCTATTCCAGTATCCACTGTACCCGCGGATTCTGTGTTCGATACAAGAACGAGAAAGATGGATAGCTACCGAAGTTCATTAAAACCATCGGTACTTGAGGCTCTTATCTGTGCAAAGGATTGGCTTCAGTATGAACATTCAGAAATTCCATTTGGAACTACAGAAGAAGTTCCTGGTACAATTGTTAATACACAATTCTGAGTTAACAAATTTTAAATCTTATTTATAGGATTTTTTGTGTCTCATTATATATTTTTGTCTAATAAGAGCGTCCCTTTTCGTTGCATCAATTTCTTTTAAAGTTTGTTATAATTGCTGCGGAATATTTATATGGCATTTTTTGAGTATCTATTTTCAAAATTTCTAAATAGGATTTGTCAAGCGATTCGTGACTCTCCTAATTCCACTTTCTCAAAAGAAAAGTTAGTGATGGTGTTAGCGTTAGGCCCAATTTCCTCGATCGAAAATTATTAGCATTGCAAAAGTGTCTTTTCAACAACATTTAAGCCCAGTAACCAGCAATGCTAATGGGCCATCACGAATACAGATTAATCTATGGACCATTATATAGGCCCAAATAGCTTCTGCGACGCGTTTTTAGTTTTCAAAGAGAAAATATACTTTTGAGTTTTGATACACGATATCGAGCATGTTTTGTAGTAGGCAGTAAACTGTAAAAAATTAATTAGTTATGCAGACGAAGAATAGCAAGCCACCCACACAGAATGACCCACGTGTAAATGACGACAATGGAAATATTTTAAAGCCTAGCCTTCGTCGATGCACAATAAACATGGAACAAGTCAAGACTTAATCCGGAGCTCAACACAGTTATCAATCTTGTCAATAAACCAAATGAACGTGCAAGGGCCCTCTTAACTACCTTATCTAGTCATATGTTCGACAAAATTTATGCCTCTCGTAAAATGGTTTCATAAAAAAGTGATACTAGATCACGTTTTTTTTTTAAAGAACTCTTTCAGTAAAGCAAATTACTTTCAGAAAATTATCTAAATATATTTAAAATCAACTTTAGCTTTTGAATTTTGGATAGGCACGCCAGATGGACCCAAAATCAAGCCAAGTAGCAGTTGATTAGTTAAAGAAACTAATTAAACATTTCTGTTGCTCTATGAAATTATACACTCGCGGGCCCTACTACTATAGATGCCATTCATAACGTAGTCTTCATCAACTTTTCCAACAGCACGTGGTTAGGACAAAGATCTAATCAATTCATCACATGTGCAAAGATCGTTTCCTAGATCACGTTTTCTGATTTATTTCAACCGAACACGGCGGCACGATTAATTGCTGTTATTTTTTAGCTCATTTCTTTTATTCTTTCTACACAAATGGAGTGTTATGACTAAATTTTTTTAACGATGATGTTAATCTTTAATGTTTATATTTTTTACATTGATAATACCCTTAACAAAGCGACCTCAAATTTACAATAGTTTTAAATTAATCACCGGAGGATTTTTATTTTTGAAAAGGAGACTTGTACCCTTATGCGCACCTTCTTTTTTATCATGCGTTGTTTATTCCTATTACGACAAAAGTGACTTCGATAAATTACACCTTTTAATTCAATAATGATTCATGTAGGCCTAGCTTAGGACTACCTAGAAACATAGGATATTGTTTTAAACTCGAGCTAATCATTGCGTTTTTAGCAACAAAAAGGGTAAAGAGAGGGTACAATTTAAATATTTTCGTTTTTTATATTTTTTTGTTGTTGCTAAAAAGTAGCTAATATACATTTGTATGTGCATGTTATAACTTGAATAGTGTGTTTTGTTTTCTTAAATAGAACAATATAGGATCAGATGTTACATTTTGTGAGTTGAAAGTAAACAAACTGGATGGTTGATCATTATGCAAAACACACATATATTTGCTCCTCCTTTCTTGAAAGCAATCGAACGAGGGACTACTTTTGAACTCAAACTCGGATTATTTGTTCATGACTAGGATGAAGTTTGGGTGAAACTAAGTGGAAGTCCAACCCTACCGATGTTGAAGAATCAACGAATGAGTTGTGGTTGATGATGGTATTCGAACTCAAATTTAGCTAATTCTCCTCGATATACGTGGAGGAGTAGCAATGATCTGAACATCTAGAAATAAATCACTAGTATACCAGTCAATTTGGAATTCATCATTTATGAACTTACATAATTGATAAAGGGATATCCATGATTCAATTTGAAAATACAATATAGTGGTCAGTGGATAATGAAGATGTATACAAAACCTAGAGAGGGTGGGTGTATGGAATATAAATGGAGGGGCCTATACTCAAGTTAATAATCAGGTGATCATGCCTGACAGTTCACCAAGCGTGCACATAAACAGTGATCATCTGCATTTTCTCTTTGCGGGTCCATGGAGAGGATCGTATGAGGGTAAGTGTTTGGCAAATGATATACTTATAAGTTACCCAAATTTTATTTTTATTCACAGCATTCTGGGAACTCATACCTTTTGCTTACTTTATAGTTATACATTTATTGAAATTTTTTGCTTATAAGCATTTAAAAGCTTAACCAAACAATCTTGAATAAAAAATGCATTGATTTGCTAGGAAAACAGAAGTATGATTTATTTTGTCTCCTCCTAGTTATGGAAATAATTTTTTTGATTTGATTGTTTTGAGCATGACATGTGACGTGCGCGTCAATAAAATGTGCGACACGATTATCCATGTCGTGATAAAATAAACAAGTGATGACAAATGTAATAAACGAATTGTTTTAAGCACGCGTGATCATGGGGTCATATTTTGGGATAACATGTTTAGTATGTAGTACTAAATGCGATCTAGTTAAAATTGAAAATGAGAAATACTTATTATGGCCATTTATTAGTATATTTAATTTTTTTATTCGTATAATGTGTCAACGTCAATAAAATGTGCGACACGGTTGTCCATGTCGTGATAAAAATAAACAAGTGATGACAAATGTAATAAACGAATTGTTTTAAGCACGCGTGATCATGGGGTCATATTTTGGGATAACATGTTTAGTATGTAGTACTAAATGCGATCTAGTTAAAATTGAAAATGAGAAATACTTATTATGGCCATTTATTAGTATATTTAATTTTTTTATTCGTATAATGTGTCAAGCACATTGGAATACTTAAAAAACATTAGGTAAATAAAAACAATTCTTTTTTTTTTTTTTTCCAAGAATGTAGCTTTATTTAATTGATAAATATTTAAATTATATGGATCAAGTAAAGAGGTAAGAATGTCAACCATGCTTATCTAAATCAACTTAGATGGATAAGATTCTTGTTTATGAGCATAATGCCATGTTTCTATCCTCCGATTCCTGAATGCAAATGAATAGTCTTCTCTCTTCTTTCTTTCTTTTCTTATATATATATATATTGAACTTAAGAATGGCAATGAAACTGGGAGGGGCCTGAGCAACCCTTGCCGTCGGGGATTTTTGAGAGTCCTGCCCAAGTTGGACACTATAATGCACCTATGTTTTTTCATAATTATCCCAATTATAGAAATAGTTTTAAAGAAATACAATATTATTATTATTATTAATTTTTTTTTCTTTTTGAAAAATACTTATTAGAATAATAGATAAATTTAACCTCTGTTTGTTTTCCATTTTTTGCCCATTAAAATGAGAAATATGATCGTTATCCATCACATCAAACCATCATATTTGACTTTTTATTTCTTATGTAGGGCCATAACGGCTATATTTTTATTCTTATTTTTACATTAATGTGTACCAAACAGGATAACTTTTCTCTTTTTCAGTAATGTTTAATGCCGCATAGGCGCATACAATTATGTCTAATAAACATATCTTATCACATTTAAATACAGGTTTATGAAATAATTAAAGTGAACAAATAAAGTTAGAGGGGATAAAAGTTCTCTAAAGAAAACGTAGTACGCCGCTCTTTAGACTCTGCTCCAATTAAATTATCAATAATTGGACCAAAACCACCAAGAATTCGTCCTCCACGCGTAAAATAATTGAAAATCTCCTTTCTCGTGTGTTAATGATGAAACTCTAGTCCTATTATTAAAATAATAGTTGGATACAATATTAAGCCAAGCCAATTATCAATGTTATGAAGATTCGTGGCATTTCAATTAGATGTGAACTAGATTGTTCGACTCTTCATTTTAAATGGTCCGATTTGTTCATAGGCTGAGTTTGGCAAAGACGACCTTATCGAGCTAGGATCATGAAAAAAAAAAGTGAGTTCAACTGGACCATAGCTCATCTCGAAATGAGCCCCAAAATAGTTCAATGTCTGAACCTACGAGCCAACTAGCTACTCGACCCATTTATCATCCTAAAAAATAGAATCAGTGGCAGAGCCAGGATTCGACGAGGAGGTGCGATTCCACATGCTGGCTTCGACAGAACCTACAGACACCTCATCGCTATGGACAAAGATTGAAGCGTTGAAACACTGGTGCAGTCGGCCGGGAAGAATGGGAGTGATTTGGAAGATGGACAAAAATGATTCGGGCAATTTTTTTAAGTCGTGGGCCTTTTTCTTTTGGCCCTGTTGTTGAGAAAAAATATTAGGCCCAATAACTCAATCTAATGGATTGAAGATGCAAAGCCTGTTTGCTTGCTGGTTTTATTCACTTCACAAATTACACACACAGTGTCACAGATGTACTCGACACTTCAAACCCAAAATCAAACAATGCCTTCGAATTCCAAACCCTATTCTCCGCTGCTGGCACTCACCCTGAGCCACTGGCCACTGGAGCACTACACCATCACTGCATCGCCAATAATTAAAAAAGGTTGAATCCCAACCTTAGGGGCCCCCATCGACCCTGCCCTGGGCCATCGTGGAGGAGGTAAATCGCAGGATGTGCCTCCCAGGAGCCAGGGTGGAGAGCACATGGATAGGCCAAGGCTGTTAATCCATATGGTAACTCCCGCTTGCAACAAAGCCAATTCCACCTTGCGGGGAATCGAACTCTGCACACTGCCGCGCTGAGCCCTATCCGTCCTCCCCTTTACCACTGGGAGATATGCCCTGGGGGCTGCATCGCCAATAATTGATTTCACTTGTGATGGTGTGAAGTGAGCAGTGAGCTGCAACCTTTCTTCCATTTTTTTTATTTTTTGGGTTTTTGTTGTCCTAGTTTGTTTACCGATTTATTATTATGAAATTATGAGTTATCAGTTAAATTAATCAGTTATGATTTATGATTATGAATTTATGAATTATAAATTTAGGAGTTTATGTTTTGTGAGAATTTACTATGAGCCTGTC